TGTTCATGCCATCACTGGCGTCTCTGCGTCCCTGGAGGCAGAGGGGTGTCGGCCTCAGCAACTGATTTACTCTGTCACCTCTTTGAACACATAGACTGCCTATGTTAATCTGTATGTTTAAGTTAGGATTGATGCAATGCTTTTAATTGCTATCGTCAGTGTTTATTTGCCCCCTGTTATATTTGCAAAAACAAAGTGTGTAAGACAGAGCTTGATAGTAGCTGCTAGTTTGTTTACCTGTGAGATGCTGATTTGGGAATAGCTTCTGATTGTATAACTCAAGTGATCACACCACACGGTGCATGCACACCATTTGAATGGCAATGTTCATTGACTTGGGGGGCAGTGGCCCCCTCAAATATTTTCGGGGGTGAGCGAAGGGACCTCTGTCCCAAGGAGTTGGCTCCTATGTTTGGGGCCATACAGCCCTGGTAAAACCCACCCTGTCCAACCTGGGCAGAGTGGATGATATTCAGAGTGGAAGTAACAGCTCATGAAATGTGACTTGTAGTCGAATTAGATCACTTGTAATAAAACATGGATGGTGCTGGAGGAGACTCTTGAGAGTCCCATGGACTCCAAGAAGATCAAACGTATCAATTCTGAAGGAAATCAGCCCTGAGTGCTCACTGGAAGGACAGATGGTGAAGCTGAGGCTCCAATACTTTGGCCACCTCATGAGAAGAGAAGACTCCCTGGAAAAGACCCTGATGTTGGGAAAGATGGAGGGCACAAGGAGAAGGGGACGACAGAGGACAAGATGGTTGGACAGTGTTCTCGAAGCTACCAGCATGAGTTTGGCCAAACTGCGGGAGGCAGTGGAAGACAGGAGTGCCTGGCCTGCTCTAGTCCATGGGGTCACGAAGAGTCGGACACGACTAAACGACTAAACAACAATAAAACATGGAGCAGTTTCTTATAACTTTGAGTAAGGGACGTTTTCACTTAAATGTCTGTGTCTCCCAGCACCTGTGAAAAATAACCACTACAGTTTGACTGTAACGCTGTGTCAAAGCACGGAGCAAAGGTTTGCAGGAGGCCAGAGCTGGGATTTTATTTTATTTTGTACGCTTGCATTGTCGCAGGATTGAAAACCAATAAAAATAGATGCTTTAAAAAACTGAACTGGAATGGACGGAGCTGCAAAGCATAAGGGGAGGGGGTTTGACCAGAAGCCTTCGCCAGCTGGCATTCCCTAGCAAGCGCTGAAAGCCACGCGGAGGGCAGTGCGAGCTCCCGGGTTACGTAACTCCGCGCTCCGGCAGCCTTACCAGCCGCGTCGGCTCAAAAGGATCACAGTGCCCTCTGGTGGTCGCTCTGGATAACTGAGCATTTAGCAAGAGGCTGCGCTCCTTTGGTGCTCCTCCACATTCCTCTCTGCCCGACCGTTTCTGTACTTTACTAGATTCTAAACGGGCCACGCAGCCAGATCTGACGCTGTTGAGAGCAAGGCGGGGTAATGTAAGTGTCAGGACCCAGTGGAGCCTTAATGCAGGCAGAGGCTCATGTTCACAAGGAGCTTGTTGCAGGAATCCTCAGGCACCTGGGAATCCAAGGAGAGGTGTCAACAGGGCCCCTTCAGCCAAGCACTTCTGGTTGCCAGTTCTTGGAAAATCAAGACAAATATTGATTGATTGATTGATTGATTGATTTGATTTGATTTGATTTGATTGAATTTAACTTCTTCCCTCTCAAAGGAGCCCAGGGCGTGTTTGGATAAGATATAAGGATTTATTAGAAAACAAAACCCCAAGGTGGCTGTAACCAATGGAAGCGAAAGCCTTGAAAAAGGTCAATATGGAGGTCAAATGGCCGAAATATTGGGAAATTTTGGAACAAGATGGAGATAGACTGAAATTGCAGAGTTTTGAAAAATTAAAAAACAAAGTGTGAGACTGGCTTCATTATTATCAGATAATGGAGGCATTTAAATTGGACAAGAAAATTGGACTTCCTGGAGGCGGCGCGAAACGGCAATGGCGGTCCTCTTCGGTTTCTGAAGAGGGGCTCCGCAGAAAGGGTCGTCCGCTGCGGCACAGCGGTGACCCATTAAGAAAAACCACGGGCAGAGTGAGCCCGTGGCCGTGGGACTCGGCGGGCACCAGGAGCGACCCCAAAACGAAGAAGGAACCCCGTAAGGGGCTCCGGAAACGTGGAAGGGGAGCGGTGCTGTGAGTTCATCGCTCTTTCTGCGGGAGCGAAGCCGCGCGGCTGCTGCTGATGAGCGCCGACCTTTCTTCTTGGAAC